TCGAATTGACAATAAGTCTATTTACAATGAATTGAAGGGAAAGAGAGTCAAATGATATGACATCTTAATGCATCTTAAGTCTTAAAATATCGTATTCCCATTAGGATTTCAGGGGAATAAAAGCGCTTTGCTTGGCTAAACATAATAAATTAAGGAAAAGTAACAAATAATGACAATAATAATGTAAAGTGTTGCTGAAAAGCATCCCAGCTCACAAGTTTATCATCGGCTGATATCTGGCTTTCCAGTGCCTCCTCGGTCAAATTCTGACTTCCACCTAGCCCCAGATGATCTCCTTCGATCCCCTCGGGTGTCTGCTGAGACGTGGTGACCAGGGCCAAAGAAGAGGTGGTTTCAACCCCTAGCTGAGTAGTTTGCTGACCTTGGGCTGCCAAGGTGACGGCAAGGGCGTCTTGATCATCAGATATGCCGAAAGATTCGCATGCGATTGGCCCACAATCGGCCAGTCCAGCTTCAGGTACTTTGAGTTCGGTCTCTACTTCTGCCTGATATGACAGATCTTGTGAAATAACCGGGTTTTGTTCAAATAGTTGAATAGAATTGGTGGCAGCAGCAGCCTTCTCCGTCTGATTGTTTTCACCACTTATCTCTCGAGCGTCTATCTCTATGTGTTCCCAGTTTGGTTGGTTTGTGAATTCGTATTCGACCGGCTTGTTGAAGCTGATTGGCATGGAAGCACCCTCGGTGACTGAGTCCATGTCGAGGATTGCAACTGAACACTCAGCACCAGGAGCATCTGAAGTGAAAATTGATATCAACCTAATGATGGATGGAGAAACCTCAGCAGTGAAGTTAAATAAACATCTAATATGAATTGGGTAGGTGATCCTAGATTAAGTGGTGATTTATTAACTTTCAGGTTTGTGAACCTAGCTTACTGTTTTGACATGATAGCGAAATCTCGTGCTACATTCAACTTCTAAATTTATAAACTAATAAATTGGGGTTAGATTTTCATACGAATGAAAAAATAAGCAAAGTCGAGTTAATACATATTTAACTGATTCCGAAAATATGATAAAAGAAAAATTAATATAAAATTAATTTAAGTAGTGGGTAACGCAACTCACCAGTGATTTAAGATAGCAATACTTAATACTATATTCACGACTAGTAACTTAGGGTTCAGATATATTCTTCAATAGAATATAGGAAAATGAGT